CACTTGGAGGTTGCACGTCTACTGTTAGAAGCTCGTGCTGATACAGAATGCAAGGACCGTGACGGCATGACAGCCCTAATGCTCGCATGCGATTGTGATCGCTTGGAGGTTGCACGTCTGCTGTTGGAAGCTCGTGCTGATACTGAATGCAGGGACAATGACGGTATGACAGCCCAAATGCTCGCATGTGCCTGTGATCGCTTGGAGGTTGCACGTCTGCTGCTGGAAGCTGGCGCTGACAAAGACTGCTGGAACAATTGCGGTAGGACGGCCCTAATTCTCGCATGCGACCGTGGTCGCTTGGAGGTTGCACGTCTGCTGCTGCAAGCTGGCACTGACAAAGAGTGCTGGGACTGTGACGGCATGACAGCCCTAACGCTCGCATGCGACCGTGGTCACTTGGAGGTTGCACGTTTGCTGCTAAAAGCTGGTGCTGACAAAGACTGCTGGGACGGTCACGGTGAGACAGCCCTAATGCTCGCATGCAACTTTGGTCACTTGGAGGATGCACGTCTGCTGTTAGAAGCTCGTGCTGATACAGAGTGCAGGGACTGTGACGGCATGACAGCCTTGATGTGGGCATGAAACAACAGCAGGTTGGAAGTTGTGCTTTTTCTGCAGTCAGTTGATGCTGATTGACATTGCAGGAACTTTGCCGGTATAGTAGCCCAAAGTTTCAGTTTGGGTTCTAACGGTTGTCGCGAGCAGCTTGCTGGCTGCTGCGTCGACGTGGAGTCTAAACTGGCTGCATTTTGCAGAACATGTCAAACATGTAGGGTTTAGGGCTTTTTTGTTCAGGGGCTAAGGGTGCAGGGCTTAGGGTAGAAGGGTTTAGGGAGTTTAGGGGTTGAGGGTTTAGTTAGCTCTTACTGGCAGTTCAAAACCTTGCCTGAAACATGCCTCCAAGCCTTGAAATATGAGGCGTCCTAAATCCGAAACCCTACCCGCGCTAGCTCTAGGTATGTTCAAATTCCGAGGCTCACTCATTTTGGCAGTTGAGGGTGTCACGATTGGGGCTGGGTTCAAGGATTGCATCCTCAAGAACTTGTAAAGGCTAGCACAATACACGATGACAAGACGCAGAATAGAAGATCTCCAAAGGTCATCAAAAGTTCCCCGAGCACAACGGCAAGCATGGCAAAGTACTGGACCAGGCTTCCTCTCTCTTGCTCTGAGGGGCTGGGGCATGGGTTCCTCTCCAAAGCCTACCGGACTCGAACCGAGGAAGCATGTAACCCATGCAAGTCCATTGTCCGAGTATACGTAAATAAATGATGTATAAAGACAACGGTATCCACTTCAGCAGTAACGTTCAGGAAAAAGCTGTTCCAACAAGGCAGAACTGGATTGAACTCTTCATCAGATCCATGTAGCTCCTCGAGTGCTATGCTGTTTTTATTCGGCCATGCTGACTCACCCGCGAAATCGAAAGCTTGCAAGACAAAACCCTTCCAGACAAATGAGCTCCGAAGAGTACGCGGGCTTCAGGCTGCATGCTTCCAGTTTCAAGGCACATCCACGAACTGTATTGTCATGTCCTAAACTCATAACTACATGTCCTGGGACGTCGAATCGCAGAATTTGGGTCTTGCTTCTCCACCTTGGCATGCACTGACCCGCACAGCACAACATCGTAAACCTTATGTCCAATTCCCCAGCCTCATTTGAGACCTGAACCCGACAGTCTCGGACTCTGGCACTCTTCTTCCTGATTATTCGTTCCTTTTTCTCCACTAGCCAAAAAAAACCCTAAACCCTACACCCCCTTAAAGAATCCGCGTAGATTCGTTTAGAGGAACCCTTAAAGATCCCTTTAAAGGAACCCTTCTGGATCCCTGCTTCAAAAGCCTTCCAAGCCAAAAAGTCCCGAAGGCCTCGATCTCCTCCAACATGAGCCCTTAGTGGGCACCGAGGGTTCTGGGGGCCCGATCCATAAGGGGTTTAGGGTTCAGGGTTTAGGGTTTATAAGGTTGTTGGAGCTTCTGAACAGAAGGGGTAAGTTGTTTTGGGGGCCCCTGTAGACTTAACCCGCAAACCCGATACAAGTGTACGGTCATGTATCCAGACATCGAAGGCGGCCACAGAGGGCCACTATCGTGTGGAGATTGATGGAGGCTTTCCCGGCAGTTTTTGTGTTGAAAGGGGCGGGGGGAGAGGGGGTGATTTTGTGCGTTGGGGGGCGTGGGATGTAGGGCTTAAGGGAGTTTGCCAGGCGTTGGATATGGTGTTCCGGCGGTGGGTGAGGAATATCGTTGTTGTGCGTTGCCTGTTGAATATGGAGCTTGGGGGCCGAAGCGACATGGGCCCACGAGTTCGTCGGAAAGCCACTGTTTTCATACGGCGAGTTGGAGTTCTGGAGTTGGGGGCAAGCTTAGGCTTCTGACTCTCGTTGCCAAGGCCTATAAACCCAAAACATCTTTGCAACAAATGCGTCAGGCAGAGCGACACCAAGCAAACTCATATCACTGGAGGCAGTCGCACGATCAATGTGAAGAAGGAGAACATGCAGAAAGCAGGCTCTCTACCGATCATGTTCTTTTGTTTTTCGCGGTTGAGGGTTGAGGTTTTAGGGTTTAGGGTGTCGAGTTCAGAGGCATTCTGCTCTACAGAACTCCACAACCCTCAAGCCTGAACCGTAAAGCTTTAGACTCAAGCCCTGTACGCCCCAAAGCAGTACAAGGTTTTCTACTGGCTCAAACTGCTGGGCCCTCGAATTTCACACAGACCCCACCTCTGTAGCAAACCTGGGAAGGACGAGGTATGGGTCATGGGGTTACGAGATAATCGGCTTAAGAGTTCGAGGCAAAGGCTACGTCGGAGAGATGAATCATCGCATCATTCCTACTGTTCCGTGAGTCTTTCTAGTCATAGAGAGTGCTGCAAACCCAAACCCGAAACACGATGTCAAAATGCGGGTGAGTTTCTCCTTAGTAATACAGCAATACATCTTGGACCCTTTTCCCGACACCTAATATGCAATTCGTGCATAGGGTATCTCAAAATTGGGGATAACACCCATGCCAGGATCATCGGTCGACACGATGTAGTACGTCGTCCGCGGCCGACATCCGAAGTCCACTCGCCCGTTTCCTTCTCGGTGCAGATTCGAAGGAGCGGGCCGTGTGGCCGCGGCCTAAAGGGCGCGAGTCTTACCTTCTGTGCAGCCTGTCAGAGTTGGTGCAGCCTTTTAACTTGTAGGGGCAAAGTCTTTGTTTGCGCTTACAGGAACTCGTAGCTGTTGCACTGCCTCAAAAATCTTGAGATCGGCCAGTCTGCGTGCTGCACAGACATGGCTGTGCTTTTCAAGCTGTGTGCATGGTTGTCTTTGTCTAATTCGAGAAACCGTTCACTGCAAATCAAGGGCCGGCAACTGTCATGTTCGCCAAGTTGGGCTGGAAACACCTCTGGGGTGTAGACGAGAGTCAGCTTTGGGCTTGAATGCATCACTCATTGCGGTTTGCGCCCAACGATTGAAGGGGAACGAGACCACCTTTAATTGGAGCGACAGCTGGGTCCCCCAAAACTCTAGTCAATGACAATGATTGATGGATCCTACAGTAAACATGAGCGAAAGCCCGGCGGCCTCTTCGGTCGAAGGTTTAGTGTGAGGGGTTTGGCAAGACTGAGTATGGCCTCCCCTTGCTCATTGCTGGCTAGCAAGCTTTAGTTTCGGATAGCGTTCCATGGCAGAGTTGGGTAGGGGTCCAGGAATGGATCGCAGGTACGTGGGAGGGTTGTCAGCAAGCATATATCCAATTCATACATCCTAGACAGTTTCACCCGAAACCCTAAAGCCTAAGTCTACCCGAAACCCTAAACCCAAAGTCTTACCCGAAAGCCTAAACCCTAAACCCCAAGTCTTACCCGAAAGCCTAAAGCACAGTCCTGAGCCTAGAGATCTCAATCCTGGATCCTGCCGGAAGGGCCTTGCAGGTCTCCGGGTTACGCTGCACCTCATCGTCGCACGATCCTACTTGGAGGATCATGGAACTTAGCAACTGGGGTTATAAGTAGGGTAACTATAGTTAAACCACATTAGGGTACTTATAACCTTACTTACTAAGTCCCATGATCCTCCAAGTATACGATCTGGAAAAAGGTCCCTTGAGGTGTCCCAAGGCTAAGGCTAAGGTTCATTGCAACAATCCAACAGTATTAGTTTTGCTCTGGTTTATGCGCCCCATCGGCGTCCGTATGGCTTGTCCCCAAACCCTCCCCTCGTCGTAGAAGGGCCTCTTTGACAGCCCAAGTGAAACCACTCCATCTAAGCTCATGGGGTAGACGATCCTCCGAACTGAGGGTTAAAGATAGGACGGTCGAAGAGTGAAGCTTGCAGTTATTTGCAATTATAGGCTTCGGGATGAGGGGTTCAATAAGATATACGGCTGAAGGGTTGCGGCAGGTTTAAGCTGACAGGTTTGGGAGACTAGAGCTGAGGCTTCCCAGCTAGAGGATGTTGTAGCTTGCAGGATGATTTGAAGGGCTAAGTTGCGTATGCTTATATAGTCTGTAGTGGGTCAGAAAGTTGTCGGCGAGTTTCCGGTGCAACGGCCCAGAGGAGTCGAGGCAAGGCGGCTCAGGACTGAAAGAAGTCCCTTCTGTGGCAAGTTCGCGATCACAGAACAGCGAGACTCGCATCCTGAAGAATGGGAAACTTGTGGCTTGAGTGGGGTTCCTTGGTTAATTAGGGTTTAGGGTTTGCAAGTGTTTGAAGAACACAGGTGCTGCTCAGCGCGAAGACCGGCTTCGCAGCTACATTGATCAAGGCCGAGGGGTGAGCCTGAGGAAAAAGAGTAGCGCGCCATACGGTGCCGTTCGCCTGCACATCCAGTTGCGCTACTACCTCGCAGCCTTCAGCAGATCAGTCATTGAGCCATTCCTACCGTGCACTACCCCGTCCCGGGGCGTGCATGGTAGCGGAGCCCTGCAAGGGCTTCCGGAGCCAGTTTTGATCCAGGGACCTCAAGCGACTGTACGATACGGCTCCTACAGTCGACAACATGACCGGGACGGATGATGCAGGCGGGAGAAATGCCCCGCCCACGTGGAATGGCGACGCAGCCACTTTCCAGGAGTACGAGGAGGCGTGTCTCCTGTGGGAACAGGCCACAGCGTGGGAGAAGCGCTACTTGTGTGGCCCCAAGTTGGCTGCGGCTTTGACAGGATCCGCTAAGAGACATGTCTCAGGCAAGAACCCCAGTTGGTTGTCACATGGTCGCGGGGTGAGCGACCTCCTCAACCACCTGAGGAGCAGTCTGGGCAGGCCACAAGTCTCCGACTTGACTGATCATTTGAGCCGCTACTTCAAAGGATCGAGGCGGCGATCAGGAGAGAGTGTCAATGACTACATATCTCGGAAGTCCGAGATTTACCTTCGAGCTTGCCAAGCTCTGCAAAGGGTTAGCCCTCTTCAGAAGACCAAGTCCCGACCGAAGACCAATGGGACGGGGTGGAACAACCCGACGTGGAGCCGGAGGACGAGCTATGATGCTGGAGACCAAGGCGAGAATGTCGATGCGGAGGCGGAGGACGGAAGCGAGGAGAATCAGCGGTCCGAGCAGGACGCAGGAAGCTGGTGGGATGACCAGTGGTCCAACCGATCCAGTTGGACCAGTGGATGGGGATCCAGCTGGTGGGGCTCGCAGTGGTCGTGGCAAGCGTACCAGGCTTACGACAGCTATGCGACCGAGCCCAACACCCCAGAACTCCTTCCGGATTATGTGCAGGGATGGTACTTGTTGCACGACTCAGGACTTTCAGGCCAAGAACGAAACGTGGTGCAGACGGCGCTGCAGGGCGACTTCTCAGTGGCTCGCGTGGCTCAGGAGCTTCGAAATCAATGTGCCGTCTTGGATACCCAGCGCCGGGAGTATGGAGCTCGCGGCAGTGGCTACCTCGGCGACATCCAGGATGCGGAGTTCGAGGAGCCGGAGGCCATGGATGACAGCTTCCTCGGAGACCTTATCGAGGAAGAGATGGAGTCGTGGGAGATTGCCGAGAACGACGCCCAAGAGGCGATGGCAGCTTTGCACCACGCAAAGAGGACGCTCCGGGAGGCGCGGCAGCGCCAAAACAGCGTTCGCCTGTCGCGACAGTACTTTAGAACCAATGCCGGCAATCACTCCCACAGCAGTGCCAAGCCGCGTGATGATAGCAAGATCCATTGCTTGCGATGTGGGCAGCTTGGCCACCGTGTAGCCAATTGTCCCCAACCAGTGCAAGCACCTCAGGCCGCCAAAGTTGCAGAACCAGTGGAGGCTACCTCATCATTCATTTGCTACCACGAGTTGATGGAAGAGCAGAGCGCCATGTCCTCAGAGGTCGAGACGGCGTTCCTGCAGGGAGTGAGCACGGCGGAAGCCGTATCCCAAGGAAAAGCTGTGATTGATGGCGGCGCCACTCGGACTTTGGCGTCATGTGCAGCAATGGAAGCTATCATGGCCTTGAATGCAAAGAAGACCGGCCGCAATGGGCTGCTGAAGGTGGACAAGAAGGACTGCCCCGTCTTCGGCTTCGGCAATGGCGAGACCAACAAGTGTACGGCGACGGTACAGTTGGCCATTCGCGCAGATGAAAAAGCAGGAGCCTTGACAGTCCATTGTCTCGACAAAGGCGGCGGTCCACTACTTCTCTCAGTGGACACATTGCGGCGACTTCATGCAGTTATAGATTTTAGTGAGGATTTGGTTTGTTTTAGGGCTCTGGATGCCACCAAGTTAATCCCTCTAGAGCGGTCCCAAACGGGACATCAGCTGCTTCCAGTCACCGAGGACCTTTACAAGGAAAGCTTGCGCGCCAAAAGTGCGATCCCAAGCTTGAGGGATTATGTACAGCAGTCCATCTAGGGACAGCTCCTTCCTTCTCCTAGTTCCGAAGGAGATGGGAAGGGATCCGAGCCACCGGAACACGGGGTGAAAAACACTCTGAGCACTGCTGCCAATGGCAGCAACCTGGAGTTCAGGAGTGGAGATTCGTGTAGTGTGAATGCTAGTTCTGTGTATGATACGCAATTAGCAAATGAGTCTGTAGTGAAGCAAGCGACGACGACTACCAGTGGACAGCATGTGGCAACCACGTCTACCGCAGCTGCCTCAGTTCAAAATCGCGAACGAGTTGTTCCCCAAGGACTGCTAGCAAGCTCGGTCCACGATGCCACGCATGACCAAGGAGAGCTTGAAGGCCGAGCTTCTTCAGGCAGGAGAGGAAGTTCCCACACGCTGGACCAAGATGGACATGGAACAGCGTCTCCGAGAATTACGCGAGCAAGGACTGGCGGATTCGGAGGAGAGCGGGAAGGGCAGCCTCTCGACCATGGAGAGCATGAACAAAGAGCTACGTCGGGCAGCCCGCAAAAAGGCTACCTTGCAGGAGTTCTGCCGCGAGACGCTGGGACTCAAGCTGACGGGGAACGAGGTGATGTCGGTCCTCGAGGGCAAAGCCTTGAAGGAGATCATGATGAAGACGCCTGCCGAGCCGGAGGACTACGTGGGATTCGGCCGCTTCAGCAAGGAGCGCTACCAGACGGTGTTGACACAGCAGACGGACTATGCAGATTGGGTGGTGACCACCTACCAGGAGTCCGGAGAGGAAGCCGTGGATGCCCGACTGGCCCGTCTGGCCAAATGGCTTATCCAGCAGAAGCAGGTGCGACGCGGTCCAGCGAAGGAGCCTTTCCCGACCAAGGGCTACATGTTGGAGCGCAAGGGCATGGGCAAGGCAGCAAAGGGAGGCGAAAAGTACGTTTCCAAATCCCGGGGAAGCCAGGATGCAGCGGAAGCTGTGGAATCGGATGCCAAGGTGAAGGATCGTCAGATGGCAGCGATGGCCGAGACCTTGGAGCTCCTCAGGGCGGAGATGGCGGAGCTGAAGGCCGAGCGCCCTCGGAAGACGGTGGCCAAGGCCGACGACGAGGGGACGACGGACTCCTCCTTCAGCATGATGTGAGCGAGGCAGACGGTATGTTTCCGGAGCACGGAGATATGAGTGCTTCTCAGCGCCTTAGTCAGGTTTTGAAGGCCTCGAGGATGCAGGCCCTCAGTGAGTCTAAGGCTCGTTCTTTGGAGGCACAAGCTTGGGCGGTAGTGCCGAATCTTTTCCAAAACTTGGTGAGTTACAACAGACCTTGCCTTCTGGAGTGCAGCGAACAGGAGAGTAACTTGATGCAACATGTCCGTGCGCAGTGCAAGCAAGACAGTGCGGCATCACACTGTGCCACTTTCAATGGTTGTGAGCTTGACACGGATGCGGGAGTACGGTTGATCATGCAGCGCATTGACCTTGAGCAACCTATACATGTGTGGCTCAGACCCGTGAGTAGTCCCTTCTCCCCGAACCAAAACCGGAACCAGCGAAGTGAGGAACAGAGTAGGTGCCTTAGGGAGAAGCGGCAGCAAGCAATCAAGGCGTACGTAGGTGCTTCTTGCGTTGTCCACCATGCACTACAGAAGGGGATCCATGTCACTTTGGAAATTTCGGAGAGTTCGGAAGCTTGGCGGTTACCGGTGTTGAGTAGGCTTCAGAAAAAGTATGGCTTGTATGAAGCCACGACGAAAGGTTGCCGAGTGGAATTGAAGGATTCAGAAGGGATTCCGCTTCAGACCGGGTGGCGAGTTCTCACAACCCACAAGCGCTTAGCCGAGGAACTTCAGTTACCATGTAGATGTCCCAAGGGCGCAGTTCACGGAAAGCCGGAAAGTAGGACGGGAACTACGAAGGGGGACTATTCGGAAGCGTTTGTTCGGAGGGTTGTGAGGGTTCTGCTTCAGGAATTGTCGCATCAAGAGACGATGCGTGAGTGTCAAGGGAGTAGCTTGTTGTGTGAGGGTTTTGGCGAGGGCGAGTTTTGTACTTGTGGAGAAGTTAACTTGCCTGGCAAAGCCCGAACGTGTCCGTGTTGTTTGCTAGGTAGAGAAGCGATTCCCCACCAACAAAGCTCGAAGCCCGGGGAATGTTCTACGACGCAAGAAACGATGATGATGGATGCAGGACCCGAGGCCTTTATGTTGGGACCCCGAGGTGATGAAGACGATGCTGATGAGATGAGCCTTGAGGCCCAGAACTGGTTCAGTGAGGCCCAAGTAGGAGAGCTGGAAAGCCAAGCTAGGACCCTTCTTGAACAGAAAGCCTTCCACCATCGAGCCTGCGCCAACCTCATCAAACAATTGCCCTTTAAAACCCAAGCCAAGCACCGACAAGCTCTGAAGCAGGACAAGCCCAGCTACATCATACTGGGAGTGTATGCTTACGGCAATCACTACGGTATCACTAAGTGGGCTAGGAAGCTTCCCCAGACCTGTAAGTATCTGTGGCAATACCTTCAGCACTGGGCTACTGAGCCAGTTCGTGGGAGTACCTTGGTTGTCAACAACAATTGCGAAGTGAACCTGCACAAGGATAGCAACAATCTCCCGAACACGAAGAACTACGTTATAGGAGTGACTCCCTTCCAACATGGAGAGTTATGGCTTGAAGGAGAACCCCCAAACCACCACTACAAAACCGTTGTCAAAACCCTTCCCAACAGCCAAAGCTGCAGCGGACACTTGCGAAGTGTGCGACAGAGAGTGTTGGCGTTCGACGCCAGACAGTGGCACACGGTCCAGCCGTGGCAAGGGGATAGAGTCATACTTGGGGGTTACATGAGTCGGGGTGTTCGGGAACTTGAGAAGGAGGATGTTCAGTGGTTGCAACAGACCGGGTTTCCTTGTGTTCAGGGTGGAGAAGGTTTCGCGGAACAGGGTATTCAGGGACAGGGCTACGCTGTGGATTCCACTAGAGCCAAGGTAGGCACCAAGGTGGAGGAAGAAATCAAGCGTAAGTTGTACCTGTTACATGCGGCCACGGGACATGGGAGCACGAGGCACATGATAGAGGCGTTGCGGCGTAGGAATGTGGACCCTTTGGTGTTACAGTTGGCTGAGTCCTTTGAGTGTCCCATCTGCGCGGAACGGAAACGTATCCAACCTAGACAGTTGGCCTCGTTAGAACCCTTACCTCCTAAATTTCACACGGTTGTGATGGATATCGGACACTGGAGATGCCCTCGAAGCGGTGAACAGCAAAACTTCATACTTGCCATTGACGAAGGTTCAAGATTTAGGAATGCCAAAATATTGACCAAAGGGTCAAAGCAAACCCCCAACTCAGCGGCATGCCTGAACTACCTCTCGGAACATTGGATACAAGTATTCGGGAAGCCAAAGACTCTTCGTCTAGATCCCGCAGGGTGTTTCCGATCCACGGCCGTGGAAAACTTCTGCGACCGGCACGATATCTACATGGATGTGATCCCGGGAGAGGCGCACTGGCAGATAGGGATTGCAGAGCAAGCCATACAGGGAGTGAAGCATCTGATGACCAAGCTACATGAGCATGATTCGGATTTGACGCCCGAACAAACATTAAGCTTGGCAGTGGCGACCTTCAACCAGAGAGAGCTCATCAGAGGTTTTTCACCAGTACAGCATGTTTTGGGGCAGTCACCAGACATCACGGAGCGCCACATCCCGAACCTACGACAGCAGTTGGAGGAACCCATCCTCAACAACACAGCAGAAGAATTCAAGAAGGAAGCAGCGCGAAGAGCAGCTGCTGAAAAGGCACTGTGCGATTGGCAGGCCCAACAGAGGGTCAACAGAGCGATGAATTCTCGGACGAGGAAGCTGTGCAATTACAGACCGGGCGATCTAGTGTATTTCTGGAGGACGCAAGAGTCCGGGCAACATAAAAGAAGTCCAGGCACAACCCAGGGCAGATTCCTGGGACCAGCCAGGGTACTTGCTACGGAGACTCGGCAATCGGCCGAGGGAGAGGCAAGGCCTGGCCATGCTATCTGGTTAGTCCGAGGGCGCAACTTACTGAAGTGTGCGCCAGAGCAACTCCGACCGGCAAGCCACAGAGAGGAGTTACTGGACTCTCTCTCACAGGAAGGGTCCACACCGTGGACCTATACCAAGTTAGCCGCTGAAATTGGAGGGAACCAATTTGAGGACATCAGTCAAGAAATCCCTCCAGAAGCAGAGTGGCAGCGAGCTCAGGATGTGACACAGGAGATACCTCCCAGCCGCACGCGAGTGCGGGGCAAGCGTCCTATGCCAGTGGCTGAGCCTACGGAGGATCTTGACCTAGAAGATGAGGCAGAGCCAAGTCAGCCCAGTCAGTTACGAAGGACGGCTGGTCCTGTCGGGTCCAACCCATTCGAGGCTGCGGCAACCACCTGGTGGGAGCAAATCCCCAATTCCGCCTGGTTGGCAGAGGAGGCTAGCTACTGGACCGACAGCGCGGCTGCCGTGGAGGTAGCCGTGGATCTTCCTACCACTGATAAAGAGTGGAAGCGTTTCGGGCAAGACGCGACCGCCTACGTTGCTGGAATGATCAAACGCCGTGCAGTAGAAGTCAGCGAGCGAAGGCTTTCAGCAGAGGATCAGCTGAAATTCAAGGCAGCAAAAGCTGTCGAAGTCAAGAACTTTCTATCTGCACAGGCCTTTGAGGCCCTGCCGTCGCATCTCAAGCCGTCTCGAGAACAGGCGATAGGCATGAGGTGGCTGTTAACCTGGAAAGTCCAGGACGACGGCAGCGTCAAGCCAAAGGCTCGAGCCATTCTTTTAGGCTACCAAGACCCGAGCTATGAACATAGATCAACTACGGCTCCCGTCATGACTCGGCAGACAAGGCAGCTCTTCTTACAGGCCGCTGCCAACCGGAGATGGCGCATCCAAAAAGGGGACATCTCAGGGGCGTTCCTTCAGGGTAGGACATACCCTGACGAACTGTTTTGCGTGCCATGTGATGAAATCCTTGAAGCTATGCAGTTGCCTCCTGGTACAATCACCAAGCTCAAGAGAGCTTGCTACGGTTTAGTTGACGCTCCTTTGGAGTGGTACAAGACCGTTGCTGAGTTCATGGAGAGCATTGGCCTCACGAGATTATGGAGTGATGCTTGTGCTTGGGTGTGGAAACCTGAAGGACAGGTTAGGGGGATGATCACGGGTCATGTTGATGATTTCATGTTCGGTGGTGCTGATGATGACAAAGGTTGGCAGGAGATTTTGAGGCTTATTAAGGAGAAGTTCCGTTGGGGCAATTGGGACCAGGATTGCTTCACTCAATGCGGCGTCTTGATTGAGACGACGACGGAAGGTTTTGCTTTGTCCCAACCAAGGTACCTTGACAGCCTCCAAGAGATCTCTTTGAACAGTACTCGCAAGAAGCAGAAGAATCATGAAACCACTGAACGTGAGAAATCACAGCTGAGGGCACTCCTAGGCGGGCTCAGCTGGTACGCTCAACAGACCGGACCCCACATCGCCGCGGAGGTCAGTCTACTTCTTTCGGATGTTTGCAAATCCACCGTTGAAACCATTAACCAGGCGAACCTGTTGTTGTACCATGCCAAGCAGAGGAAAGATCACAAGCTTGTGGTGCACAGGTGCAGTGACCAGGATATGCAGTTTTATGCGTGGGTTGATGCCGCGAATCAGAATAGGAGGGACGGAGGGAGCACTCAAGGGATTTTCGTAGGGGCTGCTTCTAAGGAGATGTTGAAGGGCGCTATAGGACATGTGAGTCCTATTGCCTGGCACTCGTCCCGCATTGACAGGGCTTGCCGCAGTCCAGGTTCCTCGGAGACCCAGGCGGCCGTGAACGGAGAGGATGTCCTCTTCTACATCCGCTACGAGTGGGCAGAGATCATGGGCCGCGAAGTGAACCTACGTGATCCCTCGCGAACGGTGGCTACAGTGGATGGGTGCCTGGTGACGGACTCGAGGAATGTGTACGACAAGTTGCACACCGCTGTTCTCACGATTCAGGGGGCAGAGAAGAAAGCCAACATTGAGTTGCTGAGTGTCAAAGAAGCACAGGTCAATACAGGACTTGTAATTAGGTGGGTCCATTCGGAGGCCCAACTGGCCAATGCTCTTACGAAGAAGGGCGGCCGGGAATTC